TGATAACCTTTTAACAGCTGAAAAAACACGTGTTATAGAAAAATAATCAGTTACACACGAAAACACTTGATACTGATTAAAAAATATACAACAATATATTATGAAAAATAAATCAATTTCACGAAATTGAAAACTTTAACAAAAGTATTATTGAAATTGATTAGATTATTTTATCTAGAAACATCTGGAACACGAAATAGATCAATAAATAGATTAAAAGTAATCTACAAGTTTTTGTAGGCGTTAAAAAAAGAAGTAAGGCAGGAAAGGCTGCCAGCAGGGATCCAATTAAAATTTTTAAATTAATCCCAAATTGTTCTAGAAGGATTAGTAAATTTTGCTTATAAATTAACATTATCTTTTCCTCTATCTATACGAAAACAAAAGACTAAAATTTAAATCTAAATTAGCTTCATAAAAGGACCACAATCCCCAAATATAGGGCTTGTAGCATCTCAATATTGGTGATGCAGTGCATCATCCTAACTCCCTAGTGACTAATGTTTAATTAACATTCAGTAAAGCGCATTCCCCGGGGTCCCACCTACGTCATACAGTTTGTTGATAAAATCAACTTTAGGGCCTAAAAGGAAAAGAATGGGGGGCCTTAAAATATTCTACTATCTTTCAACGAATTAAGTTGTGTGTGCCTATAGGCATTTTTACAAGTGAGAACGAAGAGGAGAACGTCATTCTAAAACGTTATCCAATCATTGGTAGGGAGTGTAACACGGGAAGGAAGCGATTGGTTAAACTACTTGTTTACGTTTAAGCACGTGCTAGACGGTCACCCCCAGTTGAAATAAATGTAAAATTAAGTTCTTTAATTAAATTAAAGTTTAAAATTTAATTTTGTTTAAAATTTATTTTTTGTAATAAATGATTTTTTTTAAAAGTGAATTTTTGTCACTTTATGTTATTGTTTAAGGCCCGAGTTTAACCTTTATTTAAATACATTTTCCTGTATGGAATATGAAATTTAGGACACTGATGGACCTTTCTACTGTTAGATCCCGTAAACATAATTGGTTATTGAAAATTTAATCCTGAATTTAATAAGTTCTTCTAGCATCACGTGAAGTTTCTAAATACGATAATGATTTAATTTATGCTTCTGAAATAAAAAAATCAGTACTTTTATACAAATTCTGAAAGTCAGGAAGACATGCTTTATGGATCCTTACTAAATCAAGAAGCTAAGATTTTATATAGTTGCTTCTAAAATCAGGATTTTGAGCTTTATCAGGAAGACATGCTTTATGGATCCTTACTAAATCAAGAAGCTAAGATTTTATATAGTTGCTTCTAAAATCAGGATTTTGGGCTTTTGTAAATGTGTCTAAAATCAGGATTTTGGGCTTTTGTAAATGAAAATCAGGATTTTGGGCTTTTGTAAATGTGTCTAAAATCAGGATTTTGGGCTTTTGTAAATGTGTCTAAAATCAGGATTTTGGGCTTTTGTAAATGTGTCTAAAATCAGGAATTTTGGCTTTTGTAAACGTGTCTAAAATCAGGATTTTGGGCTTTTGTAAATGTGTCTAAAATCAGGAATTTTGGCTTTTGTAAACGTGTCTAAAATCAGGATTTTGGGCTTTTGTAAATGTGTCTAAAATCAGGAATTTTGGCTTTTGTAAACGTGTCTAAAATCAGGATTTTGGGCTTTTGTAAATGTGTCTAAAATCAGGAATTTTGGCTTTTGTAAACGTGTCTAAAATCAGAATTTTGGGCTTTTGTAAATGTGTCTAAAATCAGGTTACTGAGCTTTTGAAGATGCTTCTAAAGTTAGGATTTTAGAATTAGAATCTGAGCTTTTGTAGGTGTTTCTAAAGTCAGGATACTGGGCTCTAAATTCAGGTTACTGAGCTTTTGTAGATGTTTCTAAAGTCAGGATTTTAGAATTAGAATCTGAGCTTTTGTAGGTGTTTCTAAAATCAAAATACTGGGCTCTGAATTTAGGATACTGGGCTCTAAATTCAGGTTACTGAGCTTTTGTAGATGCTTCTAAAGTCAGGATTTTAGAATTAGAATCTGAGCTTTTGTAGGCGTTTCTAAAATCAGAATACTGGGCTCTAAATTCAGGTTACTGAGCTTTTGTAGATGCCCTAAGATTAGAAATATGACATTTTACAAGCCCATCTACAATCAGGACGGCAACTTATAAAGATGTCCCTAAAATCAGGTTAGAGATTTTATATTTAAATACCTTAAAATTAGGATATTTTTTATAGATTCCGATTTTTGATGAAGCCCTTAAATTAAGGATTCTAATTGACCACTCCGAAATTTGGGTCCTAAATATTTGTAGGGTATTTCTATAATCAGAATGCACAAATCCTATAGGCATGTAAATGTTGTTAAAAACAAAAAAGACATCCTTAAAAAATATGTCGCAAGCGGGAGATGTTTTAACCTCGGGGAGAAGGGGAGAGTTTAGAATTTTTTTTTTTTTTTAATAAATTTAGATTCAATTTTACTGTAGGAATTTAAAGATCGATCATTAATCAAGAGAAATCTAGGGTTATAAATGGGAGGGCTCTAAAATGACGTCATAACAAATGGATAACTGACAAAAATGACATCAAGAGCAACCGAATTGTAGAATGTCTGCCTTTGTGATCTTCATGATCAATCATCATCTGATTATTCTTTAGCATTTAATGCAACTTTTCTCCTATAAACAAGCAAAGGATTTGCAAGGAAGTAATCAAAGGTTTTGATAAATATCAAAAGAATCTCATCCACTTTGAAAATAATCATTTGTTAATCTTCTATTTTTCCTTGTTTTTTTTCCACCCCTTATTTTATTTTTTTTTAATGATAAATGTCCGGTTATTAGGTGACAAATTATTTATCTTTTAATGCCTTTTTAATGGGTAAATAAATAGTTAATCGCCTATATATTTTTTTTCGTAAAATTTTATTAAATCAGGATGCTAATTCGGGGGTCAAGGTGCTTAATTTTTTTTTTTGTAGATGACACTAAATTAAGGGTGGTAGGTTCTTGTATTGCTCCTGAAAACAGGCTCTCCTTTTTATATTTTCGCTTCTAAATTAAGAATTTTAGCCTTATACATTTGCTCTTCATTTTAAGGATTTTGGATTTATATAGTTGTTTCTAAATTAAGGACATGTTAGCTCCTGAAGTCAGGATTCTCCCAAAACATAGCTCAAAATCTCTATTTTAAAATGGATCCTTCATAAATTGTAGATTGTAGATAAGTTTCTAGAACAGGAGGCCTATTAGAGATATCCTTTATGTATTATTTATACGATTTTCACCCCCAAAAGAAGAGGTGACGATCAGATAAAACAGCAAAAACACTACTAAAATAGACGTTGACGTTAAATAAAACGAAATAGAACAGTCAAAATGGCATAAAGAATAAGATAAAACACCTAAAATATTATAAAAATGACGTTAAATAAAACGAAATAGAACAGTCAAAATGGCATAAAGAATAAGATAAAACACCTAAAATATTATAAAAATAATAGGAGGGAAAATGGAATAGAATCCTCTAAAAGAAAGGGGTAGATATCGAATAAAACAACAAAATCCTCCCCCCAAAAAAAGTGGTTTAGATTAAGATAAAACGGCAAAAAAACAGGGGATAAGTTTAAAAGTAAAATAGAATAAAAAGGGGGTGAAGATCGGATAAACCGGCATAAAAAAATACCCAAAGGGGGGTATCAAAGTTCAAGTGAAATAGGGGGAAAATGTAAAAAAATTAACCATTTTTTTTTTTAAATTGTAGAAAATTTATAGAGATATCCACTTGCAAGACGAAGAGGTTTAAGTTGAAAAGGTCTTGGAAAGGTGGAAAGGGGGGTGGAGAAAATGTAGTTTTCATCCCATTGATAGAATATTAACCTCTTCTCTCGTAAGTTCATTCATTCATATTTTGGTTGTAGTACGTCCCAAAATTTACGTTCTCGTTTCAGTAGTAGCATCTCGGGAGCTGCAGCTGTCTCGTAAATTTTAACGGCCACTTCCACACGTGTTTATTTGAGGGTCCATTAATCGCTGTAAACGTCTCTCCGTGATCTTTACGGCCTCTAAAGTCATCGGTTGCAGATAAAGGGCTGTAAATTTTTCTGTGTTCTTTTTTTTTTTATTCCTTCCTCCTCCCTCCCTTCTTTATAGTCCTTACGTCGTCTCGTGTTTACTTTATTTATTTATTTATTTATTTTCCACCCTCTTCCATTGTCGTGAATGGGGGATGTGTGCGTGTGAGTGACAGGCGGTCATCACCGTCCCGCTATTGGTTGTCTGTCAGTCACGTGACGCCTTTTTGCGCCATATCATTAGGGGTTGTGTCGGGGTGAAGTGGGGGATCACAAATCATCCCCGGCTACCAGTCCCCGCCATTATGAGTTCGTATTTCGGCAATGTTTCCACGTGCTCTTGGACTTCTTGCGCCCTTCAAACGTCACACGGGCAGAGTTACGTGCAGGAGAACAAATATTACATAGGGGACCAACGTGGTCCCTACCTGAATCCCACTTCCGACTATCGATATCCCCAGAGTTACGTGAACCAGGAGCACGCGAATCAGGAGCCTTTCCTGTCTACGGAAACAGAACCCTGCTTGCACGGCTACGCCAAAAACTACGGGCCTACCCCACACGAAGCACCAAGGGCCCCACAGTCGCAGATACAACAACAACAACAACAACAACAACAACAACACGACCAAGGCGGCCATCAGTCTCAAGCGCACTTATACCCCTGGATGAAGTGTTACGGAGGTTAGTTTATAATATATAAATATATATATGTACTATTAAACAAAGAGGTAGTGTGGTAAAAAAGCACGTGGATGCGAGTCACGTGACCGGCTTTTTTTTTTACATACGTTTCGTTGCGTCAGCCCGGTCGCCATTGGTCCCTCCGCCATTTTAGGAGTCGCTCTTTCTTTGCTTTGTTACGCTCTATGCATTAACCCCCGTTTGAACTGTTGTTTACGTAGTTAATACGTGTCTCTTTTTCTACTCTACAGATGCTAACACGTCGACAAAGAGGACTAGACAGACTTACACACGTTATCAGACACTAGAACTGGAGAAGGAGTTCCATTTTAATCGCTATCTGACACGAAGGAGGAGGGTGGAAATCGCCAGGATGTTGAGCCTGACCGAAAGGCAGATCAAAATATGGTTCCAAAATCGTCGTATGAAAGCCAAGAAGGAGCAGAAGATCAAAAACGAACAGGAAACAACAACAGCAGGAGAAGCAGACAACGAAAACAAGCAAGAATAAGAAGAGAAGAACAATACCAACCCTCTCTCTCTTCTACTATTTTAATTTATTTAGACAGAGGAAACGGGGGTAAAAAAAAATATGTATTATTTTCGATTGAGTCGTTTGTAAGAAGGGTCAAAAATGTAGTAAATAAGTATTCGATGTTTGTCGTAAAACTTTCGACATGAATTATTGCACCTGACCCCACATGCGTGTCAGACTTTTAGGACCTCCTCTTGTGAAGGGAGCGGGTCACCCCGCTGGCGACTCACTACAGTTTTCTTCCTTTTTAAAAAGAATTTTAAACAGTAAAATCCATCCTAAACTGTACTATTTTATGGTTTTACAGCATTCTAACAACCCTTTTTACTGCCAGAAAAGGGGGTCAGTTATAAACTTTACCTTCGACAGTTCAAGTTGCTACATTTATAAGTGCTGTTTTGTTTTAAAAAAAACCACGTTATCTACCGATTAATCAACGTAAAATATGTGCGATTTTTATGAGGTTAGTAAATGAATTTTGTGTTTTTTTTTTTTTTAATATACCTTTCTACCTCCCTTAAACAACAAACGAGGGGTTCTTAAACTTTCGTTTAAAGTAAGACATCACAATATGGCGGCTGACAAGCTTAACTAATAACCTTTGTGAAGATGATTTTGTACAAGTTAAGCGTTGGGGAAATCGCAGTTAAGATCTAAATTTTTAGGTTTTTTGGGGAGAAAACAAGTTTAACCAGGGTTTTCTTCTGTTAAATTTGCTCAAAAATTCCCTGATTTTTTAGAAATGAGCTTAAAACTTTAGATATTCCACAGGTTTAACGTTAAAGATTTTTACGATTTTCTACGGGTTTTTCACCTCAGGAATTAAACTCGGGTGAACTTTAACCTTCGAAATTAACTCAGGGACTAGTCTATTAAGTAAATCTACACAAAAAAATCAAATTTAGAGCCACAAATCTACTTCAACTAACCCTTATTTTAATTGCTCTTTTCACCTTAAATCTCTAGGAATTTAACCAATTTCTTGACCCTTAAATATAACCTAACCTTTAACCTTTCTTTCCCTAGCCTTAAACCTATATTAAGGCTTAGAAATAACTTCATATTTTGTGGTAAAAAAAAGATGTGCAATCTTGGCGTGACAACGAAAACGACGCCATTTTGTTTACGTTAAACTCAATTTTTTGGTGCCAAAATTATATACAAGAGGCCTCAAATAGGGGTTTATATATGTAGTAGGCATTAGGCTATTTATATATAGATTCGAAATATGAGGGCCTTAACGTTATATTTGCTCAATCTCGATCCTAGGAGTTATCTGTGATACTATGAGATGCGGGTAAATATATATAATATATATATAGAGATATTTATATATTTATAACAAGTAGAGGAGTGTTGCTAAGATGTTTTGTTAAGTGATCCAATTGTGATGATTTTTATATACTTTTAACACTATCCTGTACAGCAGGAGGGCCCTCAAATTTATATACAAGTGATGCATAAATCAAAGGAAACGTTTCAAAGGGGCCTCTCTCTCTTTCTCTCTGCTGAAGTGTAGAGTGTTGTTTTATTTATTTTAAGTAACAAGGAGTGTTTTGTCCACTTTTTTATACACTTATGAGGCTTCTTAATAGAATTTCGTGTAGTAAATGTGCTTAAATGTGTTAAAAATGTGTAGTTTTTAATGAGAAATCAACTCATTTCTTGTATAGAAAATCAAATGTTCCTATAAGTAATGTGTTGTGTAATTGATGTCGGGAGGTTTTGAGAATTTATACATTTAATTTCTGTTTTATTTACATACAAAAAAAAAATAAGAGTTACAACTTAATTAAAGGAGCCTTAATATAATGTGATGATTGTGTAATTTATAAATAAGATAATTAATTCATAATAAAGATTGGTATATTAATAATTCCATCATTTTTCTTTCATTTCTCCTCACAAACTTCTACACTTTCTTCCTGGATTTTTATTAAATTTATTCACTTTAAACGATTAAAATAATTAAATTTAGTTAGAAAAACATTCTAATTTTATAATTTTAAGGCTTTTAAGTGTTAAAATTTCGTGTTTTTTTTAGAAAATTTGCTTCAAAACTTGCTTATTATTAACCTTCAGGCCTTGTCGTTTAATAATGCTTTCATTTTAACTTGTATTTAAACGAAAAATCTTATATAACCGAGTTTAATAATTAATTACAAAGGTTTATTAAGATAAAAATTAAGTTTATAAGCGTTAAAATTCACTAGAAAGTTCGAAATTTTAGTAGAAATTCTAACAATTCTATACACCACCTGTATGAGTAAGGTCAATAATTAGTGAAGTTAACGTGATAATTTTCATTAAATTTTAAGAAAATCTAATGTTTTTAGAGAGAAATTCGTTAATTTTCATATAAAATATTAAATTTCCTACAANAAAATCTTCATTAAACTGATATTTTTATACTCTAAAAAGGTTTAAAATATATATTGCTTTAGCTATTAAATGTAATTTAAGCTCAAACCATTGAAAGCTTTTTAATTTCGTCCCCGTAAAAGTTTTGGTATAAGAATAAATGTCTTTTTATTTGTGTCCAAAATGTTAAAATGCTTGTTAATTAAAGGTGTCCGTTATTTAGAAGTGTCTTTTAAAAATGGTTGTTTTATTCCATATGCACTTGACAGACGTTTTGAGTTTTGCATATAATTTTTCTGCGGCAAATTTTAGTATAGCATAATTCTTAATAGTGTATCATTTAAACAATATAAACTCAATAATATACAGTATGTTATTGAGTTTATATAATATAATATAATAAAAATATACTGTATATTATTGAATAAATGTAACAGTCATCGACGCTATAAAAAGGTTAAGTTGAAGTGAGTGGGAAGTCCACTCCATCACGGGAACTTTGTAAGTTTACTTCGGTTTTATTTAAGTTCAGTTTGATACGACCGGATATACGTCACTCTCGTCTAAGTTCGACTTGGGAATTTTTTTGTTCAATAATAAATGTGAATTCTTCTTCATGGAAAAAATAAGACATCCCCTGAAAATAAGACCTAGCGCATCTTTCAGAGCAAAAATTAATTTAAGACACTGTCTTATTTTCGGGGAAACACAGTATATTATCATTGCAAAGTTGCAAAAATGTTGGAAAAGCAGGATATTTATTTTGACATCCAGCTCTTCTAATTGTCCCAAAAAACCACTATAATAAGAAATATTTGGTTATAATTTTTACACTGCTGTAGAAAAAAAATACAGCAATTAGAAGACAATTAAACATCCTCATCCTCTCTCTTCCTCATCATCATCGTCGATGAACAAGTTTATATAAAGTAAAGTTTAGATATAGAGAGAGAGACATTAAAGGAGAAACTCATCATTGGTAAAGTGATGCACATGCTCTGGTAAATATCCACAATTACAGCTTTACAATTAGATATATACATGCGGAGTAGATTGAATTTCTGAAAACTTTCTGTAGGTGGAGGCGAGCATCCTTGGTGCCTGTAAATTATGTTGTCTCTTAATTAAGGTAATGTACTATCCCTTACAGTAATTCAATAAAGGAATAGTCGTGACACGAGTACTACACATTACACTCTACTGACATAATTCTATTAAAATTCACTAAATTTGACCAGGTATAAACTGCTTCCGTAACCGACTTAACACATTTTCGATTAGTTTAATGATTTATTTTAAATTCTATGCGATTTTTCTTGCGATTTTCACTTAAATTTCTCTTAAATTTCACTTAATTTACAAGCCTCATACCCTAACACATGCATATATACACTCGACCTTGCTGCTTTGTCCTTGATTGTTTATTTTTTTTTTTTTATTAATATTATATTCTAAGAAATTGCTGCCTGATTTTTTTTTATTTTTTTGGATGTAGTTTTGCATCTTTAACGTGTTTATTTAATTTTGTTTATAACTTTTTAGTATTTTTAGTTATTTTTATTGTTTATAAACACCCTAAATTTTGTTCCTGTATTCGTATTTTACTGTAGTTTTTAGATCTTTTAGTGATTTTTCTGGCTTAATTTTTACAGTTTTACACCCGGTATTGGTATATTTTACTGTTTTATACCGTTTTACTACTACAATTTAGCTCCTGTACTAGTATTTAGGTTGAAATTTTCCTCAATTTCCTTTAAAACTTATTAAATTTTACCATTACTTCCTCTATATCCTACCGTTACTTCTGATTCTATCGTTTTCTACTCGCATTTTCTCTAAAATCCACTAAAATTTTCTTTATTTTCCCCCTAAAACTCATCTTACAATCCTCAGAGCACCTAGGCAACTTTTTCTCATTTCCCCCCCCCCTAATTTTACCGAATTTATTTATGATTTCCCCCGAAATTATAGGTTAAAATCCCTTAAAAATGAACCCACAAAATTACGTCGTTGGCATAAATCAAATCCGTCATAAACGAGCATTATAACGTCATAAATTAATTATAAAAAAATTTGAATTTATCTGATAAATTCTGAGCATTTTCTACTATATTTTTTTTTTACCATAATTTTCCCAAACAATTCGATGGCGTAACGTTTAAAATAAGATATTTTAATGCTCTCATAGCAATAAAATCGTTTAACCGGGGCAGCCATGTTTGTTTACATTTGCTACAGCCAACATGGCGGAAGGTATGTGTGACATAAGCTAACACCACTCGTACGAATTTCTTCGTTTAGACGTAAATATACCGTTTATAATGACTTATCTACCCGCTTATAACGAATGATTTTTGTTCGTTGTAACGAATTTGTTAAAATCTCATCTCGATCTGGCAGGTGAGAAGCGCACCAAGTGTAACCTCATCAAAAACTCGTAAATGCTAAGCCGTCTACGGTTTATGCCCTCTTATAAATTAATTTAACGCCTGCGTAAATTAATTTATGTTAAATCGAGGATTTAGGGTGTTACAAGTATTGTATAATTTACTGTAAACGAGCTTTACGATTTTTAATACGGGTTTAAACGCTTCTAGTTAAGTTTATACGTAGAAGACGAAGCCAGATGACGATGATTGATACGTCATAAATTTTCGTAAACACATTAATTAAACTAGATTTATAAACTCGGATTCCTCCCCCCAATTTTATTTTTATTCCCCTCCAACTGCCCACCCACCGTTTTTAATTTGTGCTTCGTTCCAACGTCCACTATCTTAATACACCTCTAATTTTAATGTAAACCTTTACAATTGTTTTCGGCCTTTAGTTTGCACCCCCCTTTGTCTTTTTAGGTTAAATTTACCACCTCCCGAACTCGTGGCCACCTTAAATTGACCCCTCCCGAGTTGTCCACTGCCTTGAATTTACACTCGTCGAACAATCCAGTGTCTGCAGTTTACTCCTCGAATTCTTACCCCCCCTTACGAATTGCCCTTCATGATCGTTCTTTCAATCAGTATATAGTGATTTGTTCACCTTAAACTGTCCCTCATGACCTGTAATCCTTGAATTGCCCCTCTCGAATTTGTAGCTCGTTAAATTACACCCCTTGAATTTGTAGCGATTTAAATTGTCCTTTTCCTCACCCCCTAGTCGAATTTCTCTCTCAGGTCGTGCTCCACAATTTAAAGAGGCTCAAATCCACGTCAAATCGTCCTCCTCGTACATGCATCCCCTAGAAAGCCGCGCGTGTTATCGAGGTTTCTACAGCTCCGTACGGAGTTTTCGGCGATGTCCAACGATAAATTCGGGTGTGTTGTAAATAAAATGAGGTAGGGGAGGGGCGGGGAAAAGGCCAGGGGGGAAGAAACGTAAAAAAAAATCTGTATAAATAATTCATGGACAGTAGTTGCGCTTCACGTTAGGTTCCTCCTCAAGACAGTTCAAACTGTGGCTGTTGGAATGGTCGCAGACCAGCCAAGACGGATGACACGGCATTGATGGGGGGAAGAAGCCGGGGGTTGGCAGTCTCGGCGAACGCCGGGAAAAAAAGGGGGGGTCCCGTAAAAGTTGGCAGATATTAATTGGGAGGGGGTCAGAAATTATAATGTGGTTGTTGGGTTTGGGAATGTTCAGAGCGTCCCATTCGCCAAGCAAGTGATCGATCAAGGAAGAAAATGAGCTGTAGGGAAAGGCAGGGGGCTGCGCTCTCTCGGCCGGGCAGGCCGACATATCGAACCCGGCCTCTCTTGGAAAGTTGGCTGCGATATCAGCTGCAGCCACCGTGCACAGTCAGTCAGTCAGTGAACGAGACGTGGTAGTGGAAGGTAGCCTATCTCACGCAATATACAGTCAGGTTCTCTCTCTCTCTTCCCTCTTCTACCGCCACCACACGCGCACACACGGACTTCGGTGTGCTTGTCTTGTGTTATGTGCACTGTTGTGTGAGGACGGGACTTGCTACCTCTCACTCTTTATATGCACCTTTACTTAAAATCGCCTGTACTCGATAGGGGTAAGTTTGAGATTTTCTAAAGAGCGACACTTTGCTGTGTGTATATATAATATTTTGACATTTATCTTCTCCCGTATAACTTAGCTGTCGGAGTCGGGGACGAGCACCCCTTGTCAATCGTTGACCCTACTTGTAGTCACTTGCCATCGTCGTCGAGTATCGAGTCAGTCGTTGCTTAATTTTTCCCGATTCCTGGACAATTTCCCGAATCTTTTCGTCCGTTGTGATTATGTACTTAACCTTTTCTCCCGTGGTGGCCAGGTTGCCATTGGTGGGCGAAAGTCACATGACCGACCTGGGCCGTACCTTATTTGGAATAATGTGCTATTAAAAGTGTAAACCCGAGGTTGGCAAGGAGGACAAACACTCAGCGGCCATAATTCATCAAAATAAGCGGAGAAGTGTCACGGTGTACACAAATCAAGAGAGACACATGAGCTCTTACCAATTTGTGAATACGTTGACGTCCTGTTATGGCCAACGGGGCCAGGAGACGTCGAATCAAGACTATTATACACCTCAAGTGCAGGCTTACGGTGGCTGTTACAGCGGGCCCGGTTCCCCCGTTCAGCAGTACGGCTCTTACGGACAACACAGCATACCCCACCTTCAAAATGGCGATCACCACTACAACAGTTGTTCCCAACGCCTCAGTCATCCGAATCCCAGTCAGAGTCCGAGAACTCCGACACCGACGGCCGTAGCCAGTTGCAAGTATGCAGCCGAGCCGAGCGCAACGTCTCCTCAAGACCTCAGCACCACGGCCTCGTCTCACCCCACGGCTCCGCCGAGCCCCGAATCTCAGGCATCTCCGCCTCAGCCTCACCGCCAACCTCAACAACCTCACCACCATCCTCAGCAGTCCCCTCCTCACACCCAACAGCAGCAACCGCAGCCAGTGCAGCAATCGTCGACACCACCTCAGCAACCGCAGACACCGACAACACAACAACAGGGACAACAGAACCAACAGAAGGCCAATTATCCATCGAATCCACCGCAGATTTATCCATGGATGAGGAAAGTTCACGTCGGTCAGAGTAAGTACAACGTCATTTCCCTCTCCATCCTCCTTTCGTATACTCCTGTTAGGCTTAGTAACAACGTATAACACACACAGACACGCCAACCAACTCAACACTCGAGCCACCGGTGGCCGTGTGAGCCTGCTGTCTTCTAGCCGAGCGTTTTCAGCCAAGCTGGACTGCAGTAAATATTCTCCCTGTCAGGGAAGCACTCTCCTCCCAACACCCATAAAACGGTTCTCGTTAGGCCTATAAAACTTTCGGCGCGGCCATAATTTTGTCAGTCTTCCCGGTCGGGTGTCTGCTCCCTCCAGCAAGCTCTCCCTGTTTTACGGCCTCCTCGCCAACGGCAGCGGCACTTTGCCGGATTTTATGGCAGCTATAAAATTTCCCGGACGTGAGTACCACACTGCCTACTACAGATATCGAACAGCTAAGCTACAACACTACTAACAGGGCAAGAAAAAAAAACACCAAAGATTCTAGCAGGTAGGGAACACAGGACAAGCAAAACACGGGGAAAAAAAAGGGATGTATCGATCGCGACGATTTCGATCCCCTCTAAACAAACGAAATTCACACTATCATCTGCATCACCTCTTCAATTTTCGAGTAAACTTAGAGTAGGATAAAATTCCTCCCCATTCGTATACACCAAAAAAAGGGGGAAAAACAAGAAAAGATCCTCCTCCACGTGCTGTGTAGAAACAGGACTAGAAAAGAATCAAGACAAATCTCGGGGTAGGGAGCAGAGAAAATGGCTGACGTCGATCTATAAAGTGTGCAAGCTGTGTTGATGTACGGGCTACTGTCGAAGGTGCAGGGGGGAGGGATGGAAAAGTTTTTCTCCATCGAACCATCGCCCACCCTCCAAAAGGGGCACCTGTCGCAAGGTTCCCCTTTGGAAAGTGTAGCTAGGGGGGAGTAAATAGATGGGGTATACATTTGATATATAGTGGTAGAATGGTTAAAATGGCGGCCTCTAGTAGAAGTACTTGGCTGGGGAATGTAGAAAGGAAGGAGTGTCTTGTAGCACGTGCACTGGTGTCCACGTGAGCATAAATTTTCTTTAGCTCCTCTTTCTCGACGACGGAAACGATTTTTAAATTGCCAGCTTTACAACTGAATATTAAAGCGGTTCGGCATTTATTACATAGTTAATATTAATTTAGTGATCGTAAAGTAGAAGTGTAGTTTAATAAATTAAGGGGCCTTTTAAAAATTTCCTCTTCTCTCTAACGGAAGTAGGATGGAAAGAAAGGAAAATCTAACTCTATTAAAGTTTGCTTGCTTATTTTTATTAAAAATCACCGTTTAAATTATAGGCCTTTCTCCTTATAACGCATAAAACATTATAAACGAGAAGGCCTACGCTTCCGATAGCGTTATATTATGTTTATGAGATCTAAACTAGGAAAACAGTTAAGTTATAGCGCTTCTCGGTGTTTATACGCTTAAAAAATATATAAAAACCTAAGCGGTTAGTTAAATTGAACATCTATATACCGTATTATTATTAAATGACCCCCTTAAAATGTAATTATAACGTATAAAATGCGAAATTCTACACGCTATATCATTTATACCGTTTTATATACAACATAATTGTCGTAAACACCCGATATGAGATCTACGTTGTGTAATAAAGTATACACGTGACATATAAACAATAGACATTGATGAGAATGTTAATTTTGCTATTATTTCGTTACATAGAATGCGAGAAGGCTCTTTCTCTATGCACAAGATGGCGCCAGGCACAACATGGGGCCTGTCAAATCAAAAGATGGCTGTCATACCATCCGGTTTGTGTCATTTTGAAATGACTTGATTACTTATTTTTACCTTGGCTTAAGGTATATCAATAAATCATTCTATACAATTGATAAGCATAAACAATCTCTATCCCCGTAACGGTTACTTTATTATAAAAAAAAATATATGAGTAAACATGAAAAATTTAATCTGTTTTATATATTATTTTATTAAATCGTTACACGATAATAATTATATATTTATCATAAAAAGTCGTTTTAAATTAAGTTAAAAAGCTTAAAATTATGTTAATTTTTTTACCTTACCTTTTGTTAATGTATTCTAGAATAGATAAATGTTCTAGAATTTATCAATTTCAGTTATTCTAGAAAATATATCCGTTTCAATTCTTCTAGAAAATGCAACAGTTACATTCATTGTTTTAAAATTCATCAATTTCCTTTCCACGTGGAAATTCATCCGTTTCTTCTGTTTACAAAATTAATCAGTTTCTTTTTGCTTGTTTTATTTTTTAATAAATTTCATCAGCTGTTATTTTTTTCTAGAAAATGCATCAGTTTCTGCTTAAAATTCATAAGTTTCAGCGAAAAAAAAACATTAAAAAAAAACACACATCGCTTCATACAAACACAACGTTTTATATATATAAAATATAACGGTTTGTGTTTTATATAAAAATCATTCATTTTTTGACATTTTATACTATAAAATTCGCGTGTTTTCACTTAAATTTAATACAATTAAACAGTTTAAGTGATGAATCTACAGTAGAAAGTATACCTTTTAGGGCCTAAAATAATTTATTTTCGCTACTATGATGTTTTAATTGTTAAAAGGAGGATCAGTACATACGTCATAATTAAAACGTTAACGTTTATATATTTACATAGGGCCTACGTTTTTTGAATTTTCTTAAGTAAGATGTTTTTTAACTAGTTTGAAAGTATATAGATAGGGGGGTGGGTTAAAGCTAAGATCCTGAGGCGCCTCTTATGTACGAAAAAAAAAAGAAATGTCCTTGTCTAGGGTGGTAGGGTGATGCTATTTCCTAACAGTTCGTCTTTTTTTGCTTTTTTTTCCCTCCTTTTTCCAGACGGCGTCAACGCTATGGGTGAGACAAAACGCCAGCGGACGTCATACACTCGTTACCAGACCCTGGAGTTAGAGAAGGAGTTCCACTTCAATCGCTACCTGACTCGAAGGAGGAGGATCGAGATAGCCCACGCTCTTTGTCTAAGTGAAAGGCAGATCAAGATATGGTTTCAAAACAGGAGAATGAAATGGAAGAAAGAACACAAGATGGCTAACACGGTGCCACCTCAGATACCTCAGGTGATGGCAGATCATCATCATCCTCACCATCTACACAGCGAGACTAAAGCTTAAGGAAGAAGAAAATAAATGGTGACAAATTTCAATTCCCTTCATTTGATTTTCTTTTTGGTGTGCGTAAGAGGGGGGGGGGGAAACGATGACGACGACGATGACGACGGGACTTTCCAATTCTCCCCCCCACGGAAAGTGTGAAAATATTTACTTGAACTATGTACAAATAAGAAAAACAAAACAAAACAAAAAAAAAACTCTTAAAATAATTCGAGGGGATGAAAAAATATTTGTGAGAGGATGAAAAATTGTATACGTAGTGAAAAACTTTACGAAAGTAACATCGATATAGTTATCTGCCAGATGTAGTATAATAGTTACACCTGGTAGTATTATGAGACTTGAGTTTACAAAGAAAAAATTAATAATAATAATAATAATAATAATAATATGAATAATAATAATAATAATACGAACCATTCCGTATAATGTGGCCCTTTTTGGCTCAAAAATTAAAGGTATCTTTCCTCCCAAATTTAATGATACTTGCGGGTTTTGGGAGGAAGATCAAATGATGCCAATTATACGTAACTTAACTGTAGTGATTTTTTCCTTTTTAATTCTTTGTGCAATGTTGTGAAGTGTCATACAAAACCAGGACCTCTATCAGCCCAATAAATTATACGAGGGGGGTTGACAGTGCCAATTCCACTATATAAACAACAAACCCTCCTCTCGCGCGTGTAACTCCCCCGAGTTTTTACATTAACGAATCTCCTCTTATTTATTAAAGAAAATAATAATAATAAACGTAACGTGACGTTTTTAATTAAGAAATTTTAGAGGGAATCGCGTGATTTTGTTTGTTATTTTTTTTTTTTGGCTTTCTTTCCTATAAATAAAATCAAATATTTCTCTTCTATGTAGTAGAGGAGTGGCCCCACTGCTCTTTTCTCATTCGGGGTGGTGCCGAGTGAGGTCCTGGTAAACTGCTGATCTCGGGAAAATTTTTGAGGTTCCTCCCCTAGTCCGACAGTCCTATGGTACTTACAATTATACACAACACTGGGTATGTGTGCAATATGTATTTTGTATGCACAAAAATTTGCATAAATGTAGAATTTCAAAAGGGGGTAGGAAGAAGAAGATCTAAAAATACTACTCGGTGAGAGAGAGATGTATTTTTTTCCCCCCTTTAATTATTGGTCCTCTTTAAGGGGGGTGTGCTCGCGTGCTTGTGTGTGTGTGTGTGTGTATATGTGTGTCCTACTTCGTGACGACAGATCGAATATTGCTCATCTGTGCAGTATTTTTTTTTTTTTTTATTTTATTTCTAGGAAAAAACTGACCGAAATGACACACGTCACCTAAACTGCTGCAAGAGATTTTGTGATCGATTGCTTCAGCTTTTGGTTAGAAATAGAATTGCACCAAACTAACGTCATATTCATCTTCTAAATTTAGATTTATACAATTTTTGTTACTTTAGAATCGAATTAGACAGTAAAAATTCGCTTGACACGTTCACTAAATTGTCTAAATTTTAATTATTTACTAAAGATTTAATTGAGATTTTTTAAAAATATTTTTCTTTTACAATTTAAGTACATCTTCCACCCTCCTAAAATAAATAAATAAATAAATAAATAAAAATCACACTACGCTCGCAGCCAAGTTAAGTGTTGCGTGAATTTTAGGATTATTCGTATGAATATATTTTTTCTTATTTATAAAGAGAATTTTGATGGGTTTTTTTGTATTCGTTAATCGTAGGAGAATTATTATTATTATTTTTTCGGAATTTCCTTAAAATTCTCGTTTGGTTTCCTCTTGGTTTCTGCACCAATGATTGCTAAACTGGTGAACCCACCAATCGGTCCTGACATTGTGCCGAAACGTCTAAATGGGTCACTTCTTTGCCAACTTTTCTTACATCACCCCTTAAATGGGTTTATAAAAAGGGGTTCTGTAACGTTTCCTCATCAATTAATCCAAAAAAAAAAATCCAATTATTAAGCATTTACAATTAAATTTTTGGAGCATACGAGAACACTTCAACACCCCTTTTTTTGTGTGTGTTTTTTTTGGGGATGAATTAATTAAACTTTTTTACATTTCTTCTTCGTTTATTTATTATATTCCACGATTTTAAAATAAAATTTCGCCTTCTACACTATGTTAAAAGGCACCCCACGTTAGTTCCTATTTTAAATAGGAGAGAGAGAGAGAGAGCGTAACTACCTCATCATTCATTAATACCCTTAGAAATTAGCCTGTGGGCATTAAAATAGCTCGAGAGGTATTAAAATATACTAGCAATATAAGGGTATTTTTTTAAAAATAAGATTAACGTTACCACTCCTCTTAACGTACACTAAAAATTTTTTTATTTTTTATTTTAGATTTCCTACCCTCCTCTTCGTTCCTTAACCCATCTAAATTTATAGAGGGGCAGTTTTAGGACGATGTTTACTTAAAAAATAAAAGGAAAAATTAGTGGAGAGGGTGCAAAAATGGCCAATAAAAAGAAAAACATGGTAGATTATTCCTAAGTTTTGGGTAGAAAAAAAAAAGTAGCTGCTCATCTACCTCTCCCCCTGTTATAGATGTTTGGGTGGAGAAATAGGAGGTCTGGATGACGTCAGAGGCAGTTTGAGGTGTTTTGGTAGAGGAGGTGAGCTGTACTCCCGTCGGACCAAGACTGTAATGTGTCTTCCTGATGTTCAGTTTTTTGATTGATGGTGCTAGACTCGCTCGCTAGTTTTATCCAATGTATGATGTTTGCTGACGACACATATGACAAAATTTCTGCCTCGGAATTTCGTCTTCAAAAATGATAAATGCATTTTTATTTTTTAGAAGAGGAAGAAGAAGAAGAAGAAGAAGAAGAAGAAGAAAAAGAAGAAATATATATATATAAATCGAGAATTTATTCGAAACAATTTAGGATAAAGGAAGAAAGAAAAAATGGTAGGGGGTCGAAGTTGTAAACTGAGCTAATGCGAAGTTTACGGGACACTTGGGGCATTAAATTCGTTTTAGGAGCCAAATCTATCTTTGATTGGTCACGTTTTTTTGTTCCTTTCTTCGATAAATTTACGAGCCTTCGAGCCTGAAGGCTCTTAATTCGTAGATTCGTACTCTCTTAGGATGTTCAGCAAAGTTATCTGCATTAATGTAAGAGATGAGCATAATACTATGAGTGTGTGTGTGTATGTGTGTGTGTGTATTAAGTGAGGAGTAGGTGCTCATGAACATTGTATTATCAACAGTTATGTTAAGGAATTGTCACGTATAAAGGGGGGGTGAGAAGTAGTACTGAACATCAATCTGTACGGGGATAAGTACTAGTGTTTAGAGACATCACACTGTAGATGTTGAACTGAGAAGAAAGGATAGTGTTCAAGTACATTAGGGGGTGGAGATGGGGTCGAGGACATCACAGAAGTGTTCAGGAACGTCGTAAGTTCGATAGGAATGAGGAATAGGAACTATAACTTATATCAAAAAGTTCTTAAACACAATTTTTGCAATTATACAACAAAAAAAAATTTTAGAATTTTTTAAACAATTAGGATTGGCGGAAGGGGAGGAACACGTCAGCCAATCAATTAATAAACATTAGAATTAATCTATTTATCTCCACTAGCTATTTAGACGTTTCAAGAAAGAGAAAAAATACAAAAAAAACAATCATTGGTCAGAGTTGTGTGTACATATTGTAAATGTTGTCACTTTTCTCGCCAAAAATACGTATAAATATATATACATACATATATATATATATTGTATACACATACACATATATGAAACAAGAAAGAATTGTAATGTGTACGTGTAATGTAGAGAAATAATGTATCTCTACCACATTTTCTCATCAACTAATCTTTATGTATGTGCCACATGATGTGGCAAAATGTGAAACAGTGTTTCAAAAATAAAAGTGAACGTCTACGTATATACATTTTATAGTGTCAGTCACTTTCATAAACAGGAGTTTACTTGTTTTTTAATCCCTTCTCACCAGCTCCTTACACATTTTTAGTGTCAATCAGTTTCATAAACAGGAGTTTGGCTGTCTTCTCCCACCTCCTCCTTACCCATTTCATAATCTAAGTCACTTTAATAAATAGGAGTTTACCATACCACCCCCTTACATACTTTATAATGTTATTTAATCTCCATATACAGGAGTTTCAGTTATTTTTTTCAACCCTTAGACATCTCTTAATGATTTTCCCAAACCCCTTACTAAAACACTTCATTACCACTACCCCTTCTTTACTGTTGACTCAGCCAATAGCGAATCCATAAATCTTTAGAAGGGGTGCAGAAAGGAAACAACATGTCTTACAAAATATTTTACTACCTGAGATACCAGGCTTTACTTCCGATAAACTCAAACAAAAGGAGTGCATACCACCCTGAGCACCACCTAAATTCTCCACTTCTGTCTTCTTGACCACTGTCCCGTTTTACTATTGACCCTACTGACTACTCTTGCTTTTACTACTGTCCCTTCTATACCACTGCCTCCTTTTTTATTATTTCTTCTTCTATACTACTACCATCTTTACCAGTATCATTTTTCAGTACTGTCCCTTCTGCACCACCATTCCTTCAATACCACTGCTTTCTTTATTACTATCTCTTCTATACTACTGCCTCTTTTACCACAATTCCTTCCACCCATTGCCTCCTATACTACTATACTACTTACCTCTTTTTACCACTGCTCTTCTGCACTACCATCCCCTTCTATACCACTGCTTCCTTTACCACTGACCCCTTTTTTACCACTGCCCCTTCCTAAGAAAAACACATACACATAAATAAAAAATAAGAACGTACCCCCCAAAAGACAAAGTACAACAATAAGAACACAACTCAGTCGATTTAGATGTCATCTTTTGTCATTAAAATGATGTTTACGTTTTAAATGAATGTTTTAATGTTAGATTTTTTGAAAAAATAAATGACTCGTACAATTGTACTTCACGTTCAACTACCATTTGTTTCGTTACGTGTGTTTGTTGTGTGTTAAACGATTTCAATAGGTCCCTATAGGTTTAATTGCCTATTTTGCAATTACCTAATCTACTTAATGACCTTTAATTTTAATATATAAATAGGGAAGGTATGTCTTTTGATAATATTTGATTGATGTATGACTTTTAATATTAGATTCGGGGCATTTTTATCGAAAACACTACTTGGTTTGCCTGGGGGGAACAGCAATTATGTTCTTTTATGTGATTCAAATCACAATTTTTCATAATGATTATTTATTTTCTGATTCCTACTCATAGCTGAAAGGTAAATAATTACATAAATCTTCCATGTTTAGTGTCAGAGCTGAATGAATGCGTGTGCTAACAACTCTGACGTTCCAACAATACAATGATAATTATTACCATTTTTTTAAATTCATATTTAAATTATGTTCTTCGTAGCTTAAAATTAGCATTTAGTTATCTATAAGCAACTTTTTAATACATTTTACGCTTTAATTTTAATTATTTTCTTCCTATAGTAGCATCACGCACTCCAGTACACTCCTTCCTATTCAATTTATGAATTTTATTGTATTTTTTTATTCCTATAGTAGTAGCAAATCGTGTAACATGTTCTATAACACTACTACAGCTATAATTCTTTCATACAGTTTATTGATATTTACATTATCTTTAAGGGTTTCTGTCTTTTATTACTATAGTAGCAATCGTCTAGTTTATGTTCTGCAAGTCTACACTTAAACACTCCACGCAATTTATTAGTGTTTACACATTTAGATTTACGATGCCCTTTATTCCTATGGTAGTATCTGTTAATTTAAGGCGTACAGTACGTGTAACTATTTATTAATGTTTACATTTCCGGTACTTTCGTGTCATTTATTGCTGTAGTAGCATCAGCTGAACACATACATCATAACTGTTCTTAACACCACAGCATTTGTTGCTGCTGGAAATCAGTCATAACTTTTGTTACTACAGTAGCAGCAGGTAGTTTGCCACATAACTCTTATTATTTACATCTTCACTGGGCTTCACAGGCTCGTATTTGCCTAATACTACTATAGAAATAAAAGGGGTTGAATTAATTTTGTATGTACTAATGCACGAGTCAGAGGTTAGTTTGTGCTTTGAATTTGCAAAATATACCAAAATTTCAAGTGCTACTACTGTAACAAACGTCAGAAAAAACCCCCAAATCTCTGTTAAATTCAAACAATAATCAATTGTTAAAGGTGGAAGGGGTGTAGATTAATATATGCCAAGTTTTGAGATGCTACTACAGTAATAAAACCTTCTGGTATATAAATATCAGTTAATTATTGTAATAGAGATTTACAGTTATAAAATATGCCAAATTACCGTACTACTATGTCACCAATTGTTTAAATTTAAAGTGATGAAGAGGGGAAGACGTGTCAAGTAGATCTGATGCTTCTATAGGAATAAAAAAAAAAGAGAGAGAGTAATTCTTAAACTCGATAAGGGTATAAAAATTAATAAATTAGACGAATAGATTTTTTAGAAAATAATAAAAATTAGCAAAAATTAAACGAGGGAAGCGTGGAAAAAATTGCGTGCATTTGTGTGTGTTTTTTTGGTGCGTGTGTTTTAATTACTCCAATGGAAAAATCTTTTTGAATTTTCTTTTGATAGAGAATAATCTAATAAAAGCTATTTGGATAAATGGAAAAATAAGGTTTTCCTTTACAAGAATTAGCATTTTTTTTTCTTTTCCCTTTTTTTTGAGTGTTTCTTCCCCCTCTTCAAAAAGTGATTACATTTTGCCTGTTAATTCTTAATTAGCGCCCAGTTTGAAGAGGGATTTTTTTGGAAATTTTTCGGGGGAAAAAAGGGAAAAAATCGAACGAATATTCTTTGATGTTCGCTAAATTAAATTCTTTTTTTTTTTTCTTCTTTTGGAATTCTAAAACTTTACTTTCAAAGAACTTTACTTTCTGCGGTATCATTAAGGAAATTGTAGATTGTCGTAAGGAAACAAATCGAAAAAATGTTTTTTTTCCCTTTTTTCCCTTTTTTTTCTTAACGATTTTTATACCTGATTCAATTTTTAGATATTTTACTTTCGTAGAAATTGCATTTTTTAATTAATAATTTGCGATTTTTTAGAATTCTTTTAGAATATTTTTCTCTAATCAATTGAACGCTTAAAGCTCTTTAAAAATAGAAATTTAATCATATTTTGAATCTAAAAAAACATCTTAAAGATCCTAAAATACCCTAAATTTATTGAATTATTGTAGAATTTTTTCATGCTGTAAATACTTTAGGTATGTTGTAAATGTTATCGAAATGTTATTAATATCTGAAATACCTTTCCTAACGTAGTGTAAGCACGGAAAATTCCCTAAAACTGTACAAACCTCTTAAAATAGTTTTAAATTTTTCTATAATTCTCTAAAAGTGTAAATTAAAAGTTCCCGATAATATAGTATATAAAATTCCCTAAAATACTGTAAAGAACCTGAATTCTTTAAAACTACAATCTATTTAAAATTCCCTTAAACAACTTATAAATTACTTTTTTAAATAATTTTTTTTAAAATTTAGATTTCTGAAACATCGAAAAACAATAAAATTATTTAAACAATTTCCCTTAATTACTGTAAATTCCCTAGAATACTAAATATCTTAAAACTCTCGAAACAATGTCAAAGTGCTAAAATCCCTAAATTTTCTTCAAAATTAGATTTCTTAAACATAAAAAAAACACAGTAAAATTATTTAAAATATCCCTAAATTACCGTAAATTCCCTAAAGCTGTGTAAATACCTTTACAACTCCCGTCATATTGTTTTGCTAAAAATACCTAAATTTTCCCTAAATTCCTTAAATTTTTAAAAATGTTA